AAGCATTTTTTCACACCTGCCTAAAACTTTTGCACAGTGCTGGACATTCTTCTCTAAAGCTGCCAGAGTTCAACTGCAAAATGAAAGCAGCATGCATGTGTGCAGTTCTCAGCCTTTCCAATTTTAGATTCTGCCTTAACCTACTTTATCCTTTAGGCTGTGTCCTCTTTCCCCCAAAGCCTATTTCCTGGCATCATAAGTGCCCAACAGGAACCATACTGATGATCTGCAATGCAACTTTTGACAGTGGTGTTGTGATGCAAATGATATGCAGCAAATAATTTGCTTAAGTTTTGTAACAGCTTCATGATAAGTCTGCTGTCACTTCCCCTCCTGCAGATGTCCACGCTTGACATGGTAATATGTTTTTTGTTATTACAGGAAATGGTAAGTTTCCCTAAATAGATAATCCAATCTTGTGAAGAAGCTCAATGTAAAAGTAATTTCCCAGCATTACGTTTTCCACTGGAACTAATAGCAGAGTAGAAGGTCAATGATTTGGGTATTAGTTTTTGTTTCTGTTTCTTTCTATCCATCATTCCATTTTTAACACCATCCAGCTTTGCTCTATGGCTGGCTGTTCTGAATAGGGCTGCTAAAGCATTTCCTAGAGGATCCTCTAGCAGTTGTACTTTGATAGCGGACTGCAGACAACATGCTGCCTTGTTGCTAAAATAATGTTTTAATCTGGTGCTGTTATTTATTCTTATTAATGTGTATTTTATTTCCTATACTGCATATATTAAAATTGTGTGACAGAGTGAAATTTCTCTCTTGTGTCACCTGAAAGGTGTCTGTATGGCTCCACCACTAATGCAATCCCTGAAGGATTCCCCAGTCATCAATGTGGCCTTTTTGTCTGAAAAAGATTATCTCTCTTCTCAATAGATGAAATCTGAGTAGGCAATCTTATAGAGGGAAAGAACTTTTCAAACAGAGAGAGGCACCATCTGCAAAAATGGGCTGAAATCATAGTGATGCTATTTCATCAGCAGTAGTTAAGTATAAGCTATCCATTCGTAATCAATTCTAATACATAATATTATCTAATTAATAACATATAAATGTATTATAGGTATTCCTTGCTTAACAACCATTCTTTTAGTGACTGTTCGAAGTTACGATGGTGCTAAAAAAGTGACTTATAACTGTGCCCGAAGTTATGACTATCACAGTGCCTCTGTGGTCCTGTGATCATGATCTGGGCACTTGGCAACCAGCTTGCACTTACGACAGTTACAAAGTCCTGTGATTGCCATGTGTGACCTTCCCAGCTGGCTTCCAGCAAGCAAAATCAAGAGAGAACCGCATGATTCACTTAATCACCTTGGTTATTTGCTTAATGGTTGTTAAATCGGGTCCAGTCACATGATGATTTGCTTAATGACTGCATTGCTTAGCAACCTAAATTCTGGTCCCAATTGTGGTCATTAAGCAAGGACTACCTGTCGTAGCCTTTCAAGAAAACATCCAGTTCTCCAGAAGAGAATATTAAAAGCACCTCTAGAATACCTTAGAACTACCTAGCTCAAAAATGTGCAAAAGTTAATTCCTCCAATTAAGGTATTTTCCAGCATACAGAAGCTACAGAGGAACTGAAAATTCTGAAGATTTAAAAGTACAGGTAGTCCTTCAGTTACAACGGTAATTGGGACTGGAATTTGTCACTAAACGATGCGGTCGTAAAGTGTGACATCATGTGACTATCACTTGGTGACAGCAATCCCAAAAGTCCCTGTTGCCGTCATTAACAGAATCCTACCAGTTGTTAGGGGAGGACCCATCCCAATCCAAGCTACTCGATCCAAGCTGACCTTTGCTGTCATCAAGGAGTGCCGCTGCTGATGAGGTGCACCTGGCCTGGCCCTATGCAAGGCAGCTGATGGCCGCGCCAGGCCTTCTTCCCAAGGCTGCTCATGCCATTCTCCAAATAGCACATGCCATTCTTGCTATGCTTCAGAAGACTTCTGAGGCCTTCTAAAACCTTGTGAGAAGGCCACACCCACTGTTCTCCAAATCACACATGCTGTTCTTGCAATGCTTCAGAAAGGCTTTGGAAAGCTTCTGAGGCCTTCCGAAGCATTACGAGAGTGGCATGTGCAATTTGGAGAAAGGTGGCTATAGCCTTCTCACAAGGTTTCAGAAGGTCTCAGAAGCCTTCCAAAGCATCGCAAGAATGGCATGTGCTATTTGGAGAATAGTGCAAGTGGCCTTGGGAAGAAGGCCTGGCATGGCCAGCAGCTGCCTTGCATAGGGCCAGGCTGGTCGTGCCTTGTCAGTAGAGGGAGGAAGGCCGCAAAGGTCAGCTGGGTGTTGCAGCTGGAGTGCGGGGTGGTGGGGGCTTTGCACTGGGGTGGCTGGCCATAGGGGGGGCAGTGGTGGCTGGCTGAGACTGCTGAAGGCCCCAGGCCTCTACTTCAGCCCCAGCAATCGCCACTGCTGAAGAGTGGCACTGTGCAGGGCACTCAAAAGGGCAGAGATGGGGAGGAGATAGGTGGATGTAGTTGATAAATGCAGGTGGGCACTTTTGATCACGTGACCATGAGGCACTACAATGGCCATAACTTTGGGACTGGGCACAAGTACCATGCATTCAAGCACAGCTGTAACTTTGAACCGTTGCTGAACAAATGGTCGTTAAGTGAGGACTACCTGTAAGCTGAAGCAGAAAAAATAGATTTAAAAGTTGTTTTATATAAAATTATTATGCACAATAAAGACCTAAAACAACATTTTCAGTGCCAGCATTTCCTACTCACATGCCCACTGAACAGCAGAACATGACAACCCAGTGCCCTCCAAATGTACTCATTTCAATTCCCATTAAGCGTTGGACTTGAAATTCTAAATTGAAGGGCCCAAGTTGTACACAGTATTTAATGCAAACGCATACATCAATAGCCTTGGAATCAGAAATAGTTTGAATAAGACCTGTGATCCTTCTAAGTTGAAAGTCTGAGCATTGTGACACAACAACATGACGTCCTTCTCCAAGTCACTGAGACTCCGATATTTATGATTACGAATTCTTTCCTAAAAAGAGTATATTTTTAAAAGAAAGGAGAAAGATTGAAAGGGAGAATTCACATATAAAATTAATTAGTTTACGATATAACTCAGAATACAACAGATACAGTTATGTTATAAATAACATGAGCACTATTACCCTTTCATTGTCAATTAATTAGCAGAAACATAGCAACAACATTCAGAAAAAGCCAAAAGATGAAAAACTCTCCACATACTGGATGAAGAATAAAGAACAATATTGAATGACTGGATCAGAGGAATGAAATGTGAGATCGATTTCTCTATTCCAAGTATACTAGAAGAATGAAAAATGATACTTCAAGAAGCTATGTGTCTAATTCAGGAATAATTTACACATGCCAGAAAAATAAAAATACTAGAGGGTTTAGTGGTGCACACTCCATTGATGTATCTAAAGCTGCTATAAACTACAGGGATTTTAATAATCTTATAAAGAGCAATAGTTACTGTTGTTATTCTTTACACATGTACCACTATGAGAGAATGTGTAACAGTTCAAATTCATTGAAGCTAAATGTAGCTATGATGAATTTCCATTGGTTAAATACAATTTTTATTCCATCAATAAGATCAGTATATGAGCTTTGTTGATTATGTTCCATCTCACACACTTCAGCAGTGCAAGTACTACTTTCCTTTCTATTCTAGAAGGTTTCTTCAATTACAGAATAAATTTCAGGGGGCTCTCAGTGATTGTGGGAATGTGAGAAACCCATAAAGACAACACCACTCTTCTGCCAGTGTAATTCTCCTGATGGAGTAGAAGCCTCAGAAAGAGTGATGGACCACCTGCTTCCCTGGAAGACATGCATTGGACACCATGTTTAAGGTAGATGAAGTTGGCTCTGCTTTTATGCGCCATCATGTATCTTAATAAAGGTTTTCAATTAAAAAAATGGATTTTTATTAATAACCTGGGAAGTTTTAAAAATCAAACTTCCAGAGTTTGTGCAGATGCTCTGAACAACTTGTTAAACTAGGTTATATTCTCAAGAATTTGTTTTAAATAACCTAGTCACAATTTAATATTACATATGGAGATTCACAGCAAGCAATATTTTTATCTTCAATGTGTGCAAAAATGTAACATTTAAATAATAATTTTAACTGATGCTGGAAACACATTCAAATGCAATCCAAACTATACTCACCTTAATTTTTTTGAAGTCTACTGGTTTTCTAATTAACTCATAATATTCTGGGTATTCTTTTCGGGAAGGCAGCTGAATGAAGACTTCACTTAACTGTCGTCCTGAACTGTAGAAAGGAAGGAAGCAAAGCATTATTACAGATGAGAAGCGATGCACTGATTCCATTCTCCCTGGGTATTTTTAGACCTTGTCCTGATAGGGATGAGAGCCAAGGCAAATACTGGGAATTTAAACTAGCAATTACTAGGGCCCCATTCAAAACTAATTTTCCCTGGGAAATTGCCAGGCTTGGCATTTAATATGCAAAATATCTCTTTTGAAAACTACTAAAACATTTCCAGTGCTATTACCATTAAGAAAAGATCCTGCTGTTTGGTATTTCAAAAGCATGGTTGCTTTTCTGCCATAATATTCACAACAGACATCATGGATTTGTACCTCAGTGGAAACAAATAATTATTTTTAATATCTGAAGCCACATTCAAACTGTCCAGAAGCTGCATGTTTTTATGAACTTCAGTCCAAGTGTAACACAACTGTACATTTTTACTATTTTGGCAACAGCACACAACTGCAGACTACAGTGCCAATCTGGGATATTTTATCTGCAATTCCATTGCTTATTTACATAACATACTTTGCCAGAAACACAGATCCGTGCATGAGACAATCATAGTCTGACTACTCCTAATGAGGTCAATTTGGGACAGTCCTCATTCAGTCAAGTTCTGAGCTTCAATAAGAATATTGTGGATGAACTACTACAATAGCCAGGAGTCTGATGTAGAGGAGACAGAATCATCTGAGTGTTTGTACAGAGAGCATCAGAAAGGTGCTTTCTACTGTGGTGCTACTTTGCGAGCGCTTTATGTTTACTAAAAAAGGAATCCTAGTAACCAGTTTGCTTTAAAAGACAAGGGGGAAAAAAAAGATGGTTCTTGTGTTTTATGTTCAAGAAATATATTATCAATGCAATTTTTTTCACAAGGAGGAACCTGGGCTTGCTGTAGGCTGGCTTTGTTTAATGTTTTCAAAAGCCCTGAATGAAGGTACTTTGCCAAAGATATCCAAATTGCACAGTAGAGTCTTACTCATGCTATCAGAATATTGAATAATACCCCTAAGGGGAAAACAAACAAACAAACATCCGCTGATTTCTGTGCTTCACAAAAAGATTTTGTTTCTTTGTGTGTAAGTGAATATAAAGGTAGGTTAAAAATAATTCTTTAAGGCATCCTTCTAAGAAGAAAAAATTAATGGTTGCAATCAAGGATATGCTGAATTATGATTAATATATAGGCTATTCCTGTTTTAAATACCATTTTTAGACACACATATGCATACATGAAAGAGGGAGAGAGATCTACCAAACATAAAAATCATGTTCACTATTTCTCTTTTGGTTGCCTAGCAACTACCAGATTATATGCTGAAGAGCAATAGGACCTGCATAAATTAATGGAATGTACAGAAATATGAGTGGCATTTCAGTGTTATAATTGCAGTAGGTCCCACTATTTTCCCACACAGATAAGCAAACAAATACAGACTGTAACATATATATTTATGTGTATTTATATACTATACAAATGTCTTGCTGTTCTGAAGGCAACTCTTATTTCAAAAGCACCCTATGGGATAAACAGGAATACATTTGAAGTAAATTGTATGTGGCTATCACAACTTGAGTTTTTTGGGCACTGTGCACCCAAAGGTCCTATCAGTTTTCTTTTACTGAAAGATCTGGTAGCATTCTATTATTAATAATTCAATATCAATTCAAAATTTAAAAGAAAACATATACAAATAAACATGAAGCTTTTATGTTTTTTGTAGGGATTAGTCCCACAGCACTGTCTAGACAAAGACTGATTTTCAGGTTATACTACACTGGTATTGAATATATCATTAACTTTCTATGTTTGCACAATACTGAACTGGCAATAAACAGGTGTAGAAGCAAAGTCTTGAAGCAAAGTGTGAATCTAAAGATGAACATTCATTTTTCCCTAAGTTCAACAAAGGAAAGGCTTTAACAAATAGCAGTTCTGCCTGAGACTTGGGGATTCCCCAAAGTGCAAATTGCATCTTTCTCCATTTTCTTAATGTACGCTGAGATGTGGAATAACTGTCCACAAAGACATCCTCAGTCTGGAATTAAGTGAATTCCTAAGCAAAAGCATCAAAATCTATCAACATATGTCAAAAATTATGGAGAGTAACTGTCAGCATGGGATACCTAGAGAACAGCTACACAGAGAGTAATCCTTAAATATAAACACACACACACACTTAGAGGAACTGCCTGATTCTGCAATTTCTAGAAAAAGTAGAGAGAAAAACATTGAAAGACTTTTTACTGTTATGAACAAACCCACATGGATCTAAGCTATTAAGACCAAGTATTATTTTACCAAGTAACAACCTACTATATGATCTGTCTTAATTAATGTAATTATGGTATTTCAAAGTTATTTTCCTCATGTGAATGGTCTAGCATTCTATACTCATAAATGAACAACCGTAAAAAATCAAATTCTATATTTAGAACTTTATACATTTGACAGTTTTTGTTTCAGACTCTGTATTCATATTCATCTAATCTCAGTTTGAAAGGCAAAGTCAGATAGGCACCTGAATTTTACAGTCGATGGGTAATAGAACAGGATCTTTTAATACCTGAGCCTTATTCCTAGGAAATGCATGCTTAACAAAGCATTAAATGCAGTGAAGTGTGAGGTGCAATAAGGCACCATTAATGCCAACGGACATTCCATAATAAAAAGGAATGCTTTGATGTATGAAATGTGACCTACTCACTGTGCTAAGAGGCAGGTGCATGAGGAAAAAGAAATGGGGAAAGGGTCGATCCCTATCTTGAAGAAGTTGTTTTAGCCTGGAGTTTAGTTTACACTGTTCAAAGGTTAGAGAGCATTAACTACGAAGGCACTATTTTTGTTCAAACATTGTGAAATGTTTCCTCTTTCATTAGGGAAAATTTCTTTCAAAGCACGTGTGAAAATTTATTTGTGTGTACAAGTATCATACAACTCTCAGACATTAACATTCACTGGATAATTCCGGTCTAGTCACTCTGCTTCCACTCAGCCTGACTCATAGGTTACTGCTGTGGGAATAAAATGGAAATAGCAATAGTCTTCAAAACAGATGGATATCCACTATGTCTGAGCAATTCCTTGAAAGTGACAATTTATGGGACTTGGTCCTCTGGATGGCTGAATTGATTTTCCTGTGGGACCTCAACCTTTATGCTTAAATTTTGGGTCCATTATACCTGAAGATTACTTGGCACTATGATAACTGAGCTGTCCCAATATAATACTGCTTAACATGTATTTGAATACATTCTAGATTTGATCAGGTAGGCAATCTTGCAAATTTCCTATAACACAGTACGATTATTTCCTTTGAGAATTGGACTAATAGCACATATTCCTCTCTACATAGGTAAGAAGCCTATTAAGTTGGTTAAGGCTAAGTGGTAGATAATGGAGATCCTATTGTAAATTCAGATGGAAATTGACAAAAGCACTGTATGTATGTATGTGCTTAAGAAGAAAATTAGTGTAACTAGAAGCATTAAACACTGCAGCGGTTTATGTGGTTGTATTGCCTGAAAATCTCTGTGTGTTTAATATAGTTTAACTTGACTTACAACCATTTGTTCAGCGACTATTCGAAGTTATGAAGGCACTGAACAAAGGGACTTACGACCCGTGCCCGAAGTTACGGCTGCTGCAGTGCTCCCATAGTCACATGATCAAAATTTGGGGGCTTGGCAGCGCACCCACATTTACAACTGTGGGAGTGCTTCAACTCCCCCCACCTGTCTATCTCCCCCTTTGCCCTTTGGCTGCCCTGCACTCTGCCTTTTGGGATGGGAAACAGAGTCACCCCTGGAAGCCTCAGCTGCCCCAGCCTGCCCTTGCAAGCCGCAGAGCCCAGCAAGCATTTGTTCACCCAGCTACCTTCTCTCCAATTCCCTGGAGTTCTCCTTTTGCCTTTTACACCCAGCCGCCATGGCCGAAGCAGAAGTGCCTCACTGCCTTTGCTGCCTCCTTTTCGGACCCAGCTTCTCCAGCAAACCTTTCCTACACTTGGCTCCCTGAGAAGACTGCACTGTCTTTGGAAAAATGTGCTATCTTAAGAGAGTCTACAGAAAGACAGTGCAGCTTTCCAAAGGCTACAATGTCTGCAGCTAGGCACAAAAGGCGAAAGGTCGCTGTGGGGAGCTGGGAGAGAAGGCAGCTGGGCAAATAAATGTTTGCTGGGGCTTCCTGGGTGCTGCAGCTTGCAGGGGTGGGCTGGGGCAGCTGAGGCTTCCAGGAGTGGCTGCGGCTTTGTGCTGCACTGCAGTTCAGGGGCTTCTTGCAGCCCCTGTTCTGGGGCTGCTTCCTGCCCTGCAAGGCAGGGTACAGGGTGACCAAAAGGGCAGAGATGGGGGTTGTAAGTCAAGGACTACCTGTAACATCATTCACTATACCTCTTCATACCATTCTATTCTTGCCAACCATTCTTGTTTGCACCACATCAGTAAAGTGATTCGTACATTGCCTTTTCCTGTTTCAGCTTCTCAACTCTTTCTTTTTGAGGATCTCATAAAACTCCACCCACCCATCTCCTTCTCAGTTTTTTTCTTTCTCTTGACCCATTCACTCTTCATATATTTGTTTTGCAATGTCATTCACTCTCGGTATATTATCAAATCACTTCAGCAAACTTCTTTTGTACTGGTCATTCAGTTTTGTATTCAATCCATATTCATTCAGCACCCATTCATTCTTTATCCTATTTCTTCTCATTTTACCACCTAGCCTTTTTAAGTACTCTATTACAACTGTATTAATATTTCTATTTCTCATCACACACCCAACTTTCACTTCTAGAAACACGCTCACATAATGTGCAAGTGAGCAGAAGCAGGCTGTCATGCACAGCTAATTTCTCTTCTTGTAACAGTCATTCCTCACAGGAGATCACACATACATTATATTTCTATCAGTGTTTGTACTTCTTAGCATTTATCCATTAATTCTCCCATCTTTAATAAAAGTTCAACGAAGGGACACACAATCATCTACTTGC